TTTTTGATCATCAATCGGCGGCACTTCCTGTTGGCTCGGATGATTCTTACTGCCGAACGAGTTTCGCTCCCCTTTCTTCCTCTAGAGCCACAAGCGGCCCGTGCTGGATTGTGGCGAACGGCTGAGGTGACAAGGCAGGTAGACCCTGTGGAAGCGGTCTCCTGCAACCTAATCCGGTGAAACCCCCTTCAACCCCAACCCTTCAAGTCGTAGTTGCTTCCTCCGTTGGTGACTGTTGCTGTACAATCCTATCCAGAATTGAGTTGTGCCAGTCCTTCCAGCTCACCCGGTCCTCCCGGATCTCGGCCACCTTACCGCTAATCAGCCAGTTCCTGCTAAATTTCGATCTCACTATCTTTCGCTGCTCTTCGTCCTCAGGCCAATTCAGCTTTATTCTCCTCCATCTGCACAATATCTCTGCTTGGATGATCGGCTTGGACTCTTTCCATACCTTGTCCCTTGGATTTGATAGTCCTTCAGTTGATCTGCTGCATCTCTCCTTCCAGATCACCCATAGGGTCACCTTCCTGACGAGTTCAACCCAGTTCAATTCCGCCCTCCGAGTCATCGTAGTAATCCTAAGTCTGGGATCCGGGTCTGTAGTTTGTAATCCTAAGTCATAACCGAATTTTGCATCGTATTCGAATAACGTTCTCAACTTCTCGTTCTCCCGGATTTCCCCTGTTTCCAGATCCACTCTTTCGGGTCGAATTCGAGGTCTGAGATGCAAAGATCAGGTTGGAAGATTATCCAGGGTTTGGCTTTTGTGACCCTCACTTTCCTCGATCGGAAGGATTCTAGCATGTCACATTCGGGTTCTTTGTTCATAACTTCCAGCTCTTGTAGGTTGTGATTTGTGATCGGGTAGGAGAAGAATTTGGAGAGGTAGCTCGGTGCATTGGTTCGAGATACAAATCGGTAAACTCCGCGAGGCTGGGTTTGGGAAATGAGTATGCCCCAGTCCCTGGATTTGCACGAGAAGTCCTCCCTCAAGAGGGAGAGCCACTGTGTTGGGATGCTCTCCTGAATCTATGTTAGATTTTCTGTGAGGGCGTGGCAGCCTTTTAATTCAGTTCGGAGCCCCTTTTCGGTTAACCATTGTCTTCAATCTTCTGCCCAAATGTGTTACACCTGCCACACCCCTTTTTCCACCCAGGATAGCCATCGCCTGTCTTTTGTGCGTAGTGACCAGGGTGAGCCACTCGGGTCTACGATCCAGGAATTGCAGAGCAGAGGTTGTCTCAAGACCTCTTCTTTGTTTCCTGGTGCTGTGTTTGTTCGGCATCATTCTTCGCCAGGTGTTGAGGGTTGGCTTCCACTATGGATTTGTTGTTGGAGTAGGGCTCGTAATACGATCTGTTGCATTTCTTTTGCTTCGTCTGCCTGATTTGATTGTCCAGTCCTTCGCCATTATCCAGAAGAGACCTCTCATGTTCGGAGGGGAGTTGGTGGGTGGTAGATTTCTGATGCTGTCCAGAGCCATTTGGGTCCATGGAATGGATTGTCTTATTAGGATCTTGATAATCCATTTCATCTGCAGTGCTATGGATTCCTGTTTGGGATCAATAAGCCCCAGCCCCCCCCCTCCTGCGGTTTCCTGATGATGTGGTTCCAGGCTACCTTGTCGATACATGTGGTCTTGTTGGGGTCTCCAGTCCATAAGTATACATAGTCAAAGTTGCAGAAGATCAATTGGCTGTATCTGCAGGGGGAGGGGAGCTAGGTCGTCATGCATCTCGGGCGCCCAGCAGCAGGGCTGAAGAGGCTCCTTCTTCCCCCCTCTCTGGTTACTTATATTCTCGCGCAGTTAATCCCCTGTTCGCAGGGCAATCAATGCTGGCAGAATGATGACGAGATCTTCAGGAGGCAATCAATGGCTTTGTTAAGGGACGCTGAACCCGTTTTCCAGCAGGTGTTGCTCCCCACTAATAGATGGAGCCTCCCCGGGGGAGATAGAGGCGTCTGCTTATACCAGCGCCCCTATCTCCCAAATGGGCAGTTTTCTCAAAAAAAAAAAAA